CCATTTAAATTATGAATAATTGTTTTCAGAATAATTTATCATTTTGCTTCAATGTGATAAAAGAGCCAGTGGCAGCTTGTGGAATGGGGCTAATGTTATTTTAAAGGAGTCTTGATTATTTGTCACTTTGAAAACACATTTCAGCAGCCGGGAATCAATTAACACTAAAAAAAAACCTGTAAAAAACTCATTAATTGCACAATGACATTCCAAATGTTTTCCACTTCATTTGCAATCTAAGGTTTGTGTTCTGTTACTCATTCATGATGGGAAGAGCAACTTCTGGTGATCTATAATATGGAACATTTCTGTGTATTTCACTTTCTCTGATGCTAATTAATGATTATGGTGCCATTTATTTAGAATACATAAGGTGAAGTAGATGAGGCTAAATTATTATAGCAAACCAGGGATTCAGGGATTTAACTAATCATTTCAGTTTGTAACCACTTGCAAATGTGTAAAGATTCAATGTAGATTGGATTTGCAGTTGCACACATTTTTAGGTACTATTCTGCTGCAGTATAAAATAGATTTTATAGTAGTTTGATATTGTACTAAAGAGCCATCTGTACAGAGTTTGCATATTCTGCCTTGTTCAAGGTAGGAATGCTAGATTCTAGTGTTGTTGGATCTCTTACATCTTCACAGAACTCCAAACAGTTACATGGAGTACAACAACCCCATGATCATTGTTAACAGAGCAAGCTATAGAGTTTATGCAGACAGATATGTAGGCAAACAGATCTACAGTATCATTTGACTCTGGCTATAACCAGTTTAGTTTTAAAACTGACTATATAATTGAAAACAGTGTGTGAATTGAAAGCAACATAACCAAATGAAAAGCAGCCATTTTTTTGCATTTAAGAAGTTATTAGCAAGTTTTTCTTCTTGTAAGATAAATAAAACATCTTTTTTTTAGTCTGATTAAAGAGGCATATACAGATTTCAGAAATCTTTTTTCAGCAGCATCAGCCTTCTTCCAAAGTGCAAAATGAAAAGAGCAGAGGCTGTTTGAAGGTGACATCCAAAGAGAAATAGGTATAGGCTGCAAATGCCACCACAGACAATGCATATATTTAACAATGTGCAACAAAAGCACCTGAAAGAGTAGAGAGAGAACCAAAATGACCATTCAAGGACTAGACAAGTCATTCCTGCTAAGGTCAAAGGAAAACAAACTAGTTCAGGATGTAGCTGAAACAAGATTAGTATGATATGGTAAAGAATACCCATCATTATGTTTCCATGCTTAATGCATAGTTTCTCTGTCAGTCTTGATAATTCTTTGCCAGGTTTAAGAATCATTTAAGTTTCTTGACACCCTCTACACATTTCCCTCTACATTTCTGGAACATGTTTATTTTTATTAGCACAAGCATTGTGACACCTGAAAACATATGTCACCCCCCTCCTTTCATCATCTATAAATTCGCTACATTACTCTGCTCTCCTCCCTACTGATAGCTGATGTGTGGTGAGCGTTCTGGCGCACTATGGCTGCCATCGCATCATCCAGGTGGATGCTGCACATTGGTGGTGGTGGAGGGGAGTCCCGATTACCTGTAAAGCGCTTTGAGTGGAGTGTCCAGAAAAGCGCTATATAAGTGTAAGCAATTATTATTATTATTATTATTATTATTATTATTATTATTAAATAGTTTTTGTATGACTTGTTTTTTAAATTGTCCAGTGTATATTTTTCTTGCACTTCGTATTTTCGGAAAATTTATTGTTCATTTGTTTATTTTCTTAAAATATGTAATGTGAACCCCTACAGAATTTCTTTTAAAAGGTGACTGTGGCCTAAATTGAATTTTGTGAATTACAAACTGGGAAAAAACTTCTTCATCTTTAAACAAGAATCATTACACTTTTCACTTACACTTACACTGAGTTGGTGCACAAAACTGACATTTGTTTTCCATCTCAGACGTAAAGCTGTAAATCATTGCATCCCTATTCAACTGGAAAAAAATGAAAAAATAATAATTTGTCTGTAAATATTCGGGCTGTGCATCATTTCTTAGTTTACTGTATTATGAATATTACTAAAAAAAAATCGGATTCTCTTTTTACCCATACTAATGTCTTCAGCAATATCCTTCATTCCTGGAATATCCTACCCAATTCTATATCATGTACAGTCCAGTGAGAAACAATGGTAGCCTGCCTCAATGTTTAAACTAACAACATATTCATTTTACACAAATTGCTTGTTTCAAAACATCGATATAAGGAAACACTGCCAAAATGAAGCAGTGTAGTCTCTTTGGCTTTCAAACTTGCCTTTTGGCAAATACTGTCACTTAGTGATGGAATCTGTCTCTCCCAATTGAAAATCAAGTATGCATATTATAAAATCACTTTGGAAACAGCTACTATATCTACATGGCATCTTATGTTAGCAGCTACAGTATATGCTATCAGCAATATGCTAAATTAGCATTTGCAGGGTAGAACATTTAAATATCCAACGGGATGTATGTGTGAGTTCAAAATCCAGTTTTGTATAGAATGTAATGAATTATTGGGTTCATTTAAAAAGAAATGATCAGTGTTTGAATATTGGCTTTACACATATAAACATATACTGTATGCAAAATGAATCAGTGATATTAGACATTTTATTAAATAAATATTGCTGAACATGACGGAATACAATCCCCATAATCCAGGTGCCGGTGTCTATATCCTTCATTAAAAAAGTGTATTAGAATCTGACTATGATAAGTGCATTCTTTTGTAATTAAGAATAATTATTTTTTTGAATATGTAAAAAAGGTGTAAGGTTAATAATTTCAATTATTAAATTAAAACGTATTTATAGCCAGTCCACCAGCAATCTCTCACTGTTAAACATCTAGTGTTATATTTTTGTTTAAATGGCTAAATTGATCTTTAATGTATTACAAATCCAATATTTAATTGATTGTTTTCTTTTCAGTTTTTAGAATATATGTTTTTTTATAACTTGTAATGTATAAATTAGCAGTTTACTGTTACTTAATGCCTGTGAATAGTGTCATCCTGTTACTATTATAAATCTATACCCTTGTTATACAACAACCCTGTTTTGCTGTAACATAGATACAGTAGTTAAGTTACACTGTACCTTCAGAGAAACAACTTGCAAAATATTGCTGGATATAGTAGGTGATTGTGCAAATAAAAAATAAATAATAACCAGCCAAAGAGAAACATACCTTAATACTCCTGACACTAAGATAGTATAACATTCTGAATTTTAAAATGGAACTAAAATATATTTTTTTAGAATCACTTGCATTTATGTCCTAACAATAAACCTAAAACCCTAATGCTACTAATAACTTTACAACTGAGTTGGTGCGGACAAACTGCAGAGAATACAGATAATCAGATAAAACTAGAAAGGTTTTAAGTTCACAAATTGCCAGGAGTTTATACAAACCTTCTCACTTCTTGCTTAATATACTGTGTATTTATGTCATTTCAATTATTTATTTCTAAAATATATAAATACATAAACATAATTAAAATCACTTTGTAAAGAAAATTATCCAATAAAAGTCAACAATTCAGATAACATGATAGGATCTAGCTCAATAATAAGATGTGAAGATGCTAGAAAAAAACCTGATGTAAGTGCATTATACAAATAAAATGCAGTAAGATACTCCAAGGTTTGAGCTGTTTACATTTCACTATACAATTAACTGTGTGAAAAAACCCTCCAAAGCCCAGAATTATTTCATCAGTTACTTCTGCACTTTTTATTTTATGTACTGTAATGTAAGAGATAGATGTAACAAAAAAAACATTGAAAACCACAAGAACTAAAATGTTCTCAGTTTAGATTGGTGATAATAATAATAATAATAATTGCTTACACTTATATAGCGCTTTTCTGGACACTCCACTCAAAGCACTTTACAGGTAATGGGGACTCCCCTCCACCACCACCAATGTGCAGCATCCACCTGGATGATGCGACGGCAGCCATAGTGCGCCAGAACGCTCACCACACAGTGGGGAGGAAAGCAGAGTAATGGCCAATTCATAGATGGGGATTATTAGGAGGCCATGATTGGTAAGGGCCAATGGGAAATTTGGCCAGGACACCGGGGTTACACCCCTACTCTTTTCGAGAAACGCCCTGGGATTTTTAATGACCACAGTGAGTCAGGACCTCAGTTTTACGTCTCATCCGAAGGACGGCGCATGTTTACAGTATAGTGTCCCCGTCACTATACTGGGGCATTAGGACTCACATGGACCGCAGGATGAGCACCCGCTGCTGGCCCCACTAACACCTCTTTCCAGCAGCAAACTTAGTTTTTCCCATCGAGGTACTGACCAGGCTCACACCTGCTTAGCTTCAGTGGGTTACCAGTTGTGAGTTGCAGGGTGATATGGCTGCTGGCTGTGTTTTTTTAGTCTGTATTTTACATTGAATACTGAACTGCATAGAAAGATGAGCTAAATCTTTTGCACTTTTAATCAAAGTAATAATAAACTTAGCAAATGAAAACCATTTTTTAACATGGACAAACTTTATTTCCCTGAGTAATTAAGAATAAATTTATCCATTGGCAAACACATTTTGTATGTTTGTCAATTGGTTAACATTTTTTCTATATGCATTAAAAACATCTAAAAAGTGAACAAAGAAACACAAAAAGTAATGGTTGTAACATATGTTGCCATTACTGATGATTGTTTTTTTGCTTTTGTTTCCATCCTGGGTTGAAAAAAAGCAAATCAGATTAATCCGTTCACAATAAGGAGACAACAACAGTCTGAGTACATTAAAGCCTGTAGTTTGTCTGGTTTGTTTTATTCCAGGCTGAACAAATAAAATGACTGAAGGACAAGGGAATTATCAGTGGTCCCAGTGAATGATTTTACGACTTAATAGTTAATTCATTTTCTCTTGTGTCTTTCTCCCCTTTCCAGCTGGGTAATAACTGGTGTAAAAGGCCAGGTACAAAACAGTAAAGGAAATAAATACTTACAATAGTTGCTCTGTGCTGTTTCCTAGTCAACAGGGTTTAGCAGACTCATCTGATACTGTGTCCTTAGCCTTCTGATTTTTTATGGAAAAAGACAAGGAAAAATATAGGCTGAAAGGCCCAGATTTAAACTGTCAATTTAACTGATGGCACAAATTATCCTTTTGTGAGCCACTGCTTTCACTGAATTCACATGCTCTTATCTTTTTGTTGTGAATGTCTTCTGTGTTATTAACATTAGCAGATTGTCAGACTGACATAGTGCATATTGGGTCTGTCTCTGCAGGGGTACACTCATGGGGGTGTGTGTGCCTACTCAGGTCTGCATGTGCATTTGTATGTGACTTCAGCACTCTTTATCTTCTAGCATTTATTTTCTTATTTTAATGAAAGGGACAATATTGTCCATTAATTTTGACATCTTATTCAAGGCACACAAAACGTTTAAGCAGAGCAGTAATTGTTTTCTGAAGTCCTTCATTGTGTTCATGTCTGTCAGCTAAGTGCATCTGGACATTGGTTTTCAGACACAGCCAGTCATCAGTCTACATTTTTTATCATGGTGTAACTCATTTTTAAAATCAGATATCACATCTTCTTTCATGCTCTGATTAAAATGTACAACTACTCAGAATATTCAGTTTCCAAATGTAATTGAAAAAAGTACACTGTGTGAAGGTACTAAATAGCTTAAGAGTTATATCTTTAAAGGGTGTGTGCTTTGAAATTAGTTGAAAGCTTGTTTGTGAAAACAGACCTGTTTATAACATTAACAGCAACAAAAAAATAAATGTTTTGTCAAAACGTTTTTAGTAACTACTGTATGTAAACCTTTCTTTAAAGAAATAATTTGCAAAGTCAAGGTAATTGAAATGCTACAACATTCTATCAGATTGGCTTACAATTTTAGAGACAGCATGAAATTGTGTATCTAATAATGAACACTGCTTTACTGTATGTCTTTCTCGGTGTTCTTTAAAATACTATTCATAATAAATACATTTGGTATCATTTACAAAATCTAGACCACTAATCTGTAATGTAATTTTGTTCAAATAGGCCTTTTTGTAAAAAAACAGATGCAAAATATAAACTCTGTGACATTACCAGATTAACTCATTTTTTTCAATGTGCTCAGCTCTCAAATTATGTAGTAGCCTTTATATTCTGTAAATAATAACAGAAAAAAATACATTTTTCACATGAACAGAACTACTATAGATTTTCTTTGGAAGAATTGTGGATGAAAATTCATAGGAAGAAAGAAAAAGCACAGGAAATATGAAAATGATGCTTTGTTTTTAGCAAAGACATTTTGAATATTTCCTTGATACATATAATACAATAATATTGTCACTATAGTGCAATCTAAGGAATCTAAAGTTAATTAACCAAACAGTTTTTGAATGTGAGCAGATTGTGGTACAGGCTGCCGATTGAGAAGGTAACTAAGAGGTAATCAAGTGGTCATCTTTATTTACTCCAAAACCTCCATATCAACATATTGCATTTGACACTAGAATGATAACAGGTTTGAGCTAGTCAGCAAAACAGGCTTTATGTACAACATGTTGTAACAGGAGCCAGAGCAGGTGATGACATGGTGTGAGTATAAAAGAATTGTCATAGCTTTTGAGGTTTAGCTCAGATCAGAAACAGGTTTCAGCCTTGAAGTTTCAGCTGGTGCACCAATACTCAAGATAGAAGCAAAATTAAAAAACAAAACAAAATGGCTGAAGACAGTTGTCTTGTATGCACAGGAAGCTCACTTTACCATATTATAATTGCTTTGTCACTACAATATAGTGGAAAATACTGACACAATAAGCTAAACAGTTTTTGAAGAGGGGCAGTTTTCAGTACAATACAGTATATTTCGCCACAAGGTTAATGACTCAACATGGATTTAGCAAATTGGTGTGCAAATCGATAGCCGATTTTGATATTGATTTTCTGTACGGCACTAAGTTCAAATTGAATCGGTACAGTAGTTCCCAAGACAGAGGCTTTGAATTTACTATGCTACTAGAATTGGATTTACTAAATCTGGGTGTAATCTCCCAGTTTTATTTTCAAAACTTTCTATTGAAATTCTATTGAATGAGAACAAAATGTGGGTGGAAAATAATCACATTAACCTGGGAGGTCTAAAAATGAAAATGGTTTGAAATCTGCCAAGCTTCATTTATTTTTTACAGTACTTCCCGGGAATCATGAAATAATGGTCAGTTGGCTATCTTAGCTCTGGCAGGTATCACATTTAACCGTTTTAATTGTATCATAACAGGAAAGATATAAACCAAGCTGATAGTTAATTGACCAAACTATTTTTGAGTAGCAGCAATTTACAGTATGGGTTGTATAAACACATGATAATGGACAATGATGGCCTATTGTGGACAAACAATATTTTCACAGCAACCTCTCAGGTACTGTACCATTGGCTGTTCATAGAATCATAAACCCTGAAGTCTACATCAAGCTATACATTCCTTCTCAGGAATTTGAAAGTGTATTTCACCCTTATAGGCTTGGCTTCACTGTGTCCTGCTACATAGATCAAGATCTTGATTGAGTTGTGCTTTGTGCTACATACTTGCCTCATCTGTCCCATTGCACTTGATACTGTACATATAGAGTTGACCAGTTACCTGGTCATCAGTTAGAGACAGTGTGAACTTTGTTTGGAAGCCTTAATATTGTTCTGGTCTTCTGTTTGCATATCTCTGACATGTTCTCAAAGTATTGTCATTAACTTCACGTAATCACCAGAAACTGAAAAACTCAAAAGAACTCTATATAAACAAATAATACAGATTCTCTGAAACACACAATTACAAAAGTCTCTATTTTATAAAAAACGACTCAGTACTAAATCTATAAATATGACCATAACAGAAAACTAAATCTGAAACATCACAATAAGTTGAAACTAATTGGAATTGTATTTGTTAGCCTCCAAGTCATTTAGTATTTTTCCCTCAAGGTCTGTGTCCTCAATGTTTAAATATAGCAAAGACATTTTGACAAAACACTTTATTGTAGTGTCTAAGGAAATATGTTGCAATCAGCATTCCTCTGTCATTACACTAATAGTCAGAGTGAGCAATGTGATATTTAATTCAATTGCAGTCTGTCCTACTGAAATGCTAAAAAAAGAAATCATTCCAAATTTTCCATTCTGTCATTTTTGGAATTCATTTATTGCTGTGAAATCACAACATGCATTCATGTTACAATTGAATTGCTTCAAAAATGGCAATTTGGAATTGATCAATCTTTAAGCATGTTAGCTTAAGATTGTGCTAATGGTGATCTTTGAATTTAAAATTCAAAATACATGAGCATGCAATTGACAATACACTGCACATCTGTTAATTTGACACTCTTAAATTGTTTCACTGAAGAAATATAAGTATAAGTGTTCTTGAGAAAACAAAGAAGAAATCAATATTTGAGGATGGAATACTGTGACTAAGGTTGCATTTTATCAAAAGCTTGGACATATAAGGGAAAGACCCCTTTTTCATCAATAAAATTCCACAGGAAGCCTTTAAGTTTTTTTTAACTTAATGATATATTTGTAGGTTATGTTTTTGAAGCCTGTGTGTAACATTCTATACTTGTTTCCATTAAAAGTCCCCTGTTAGATGTTTGCCTCATTGTGAGTATTGTGTATTTTTTAGAGTTTATTTGCATTTGCAATGGCATTTGTTAACATGACTAGTTAACTAACTATATCAGAATCTGCAGTAAATCACTGATAAAGATCACAAAAAGCAGTGGTCCTAAAACAGATATTTGTGATTCTTAGCTAATTTCTTCATACCTATTGTAATATTCACCCATTATGTGCTTTCTGTCTATTTAACCCTTTAACTAGTTCTATGTCCAAACACACTAATTACCTTGAATACCTGCCATCTGTATGTAGAGAATTCATGAAGCTCCTTCTCAATATCTTAATATAACATGTTTAGTTTTCTTGCCAGTTACTGTTATTGCTTGTTCAATTGTTTTTTTTTATGTTATGGTGTTATTGCGAAACAGATTTCTATTATTTTTATCACCATAGACTGTGGATTTTTTAACATAGCTTTTGCTTAGCTTTTATTGTTTATGATTGGATATTGGCTTGTACAGTAGCAGAACATACTGTAAGTGCCACAAACCACCACACAGTGAATCAAGTCTTTTACTTCTTTTCTCACTGCAAACCAATGGTGTTAACAAGACAGCTCAAATGGAAGGAGTGCAGATGTATCTGACATTGATAACACCGCAAAATCACAGATGCCTGGCAATCAGCAAAGGTCTCTTTTGTGTTTCAAGCTGAGGAAGCCCTGATGGACCATAACCCTTCCTCAGTATGGTGATACTCAAGCTTTGTACATTTCTTCATGGTTCCTGATCACAAAGGACCAGATTCATACCAGCAGTCTCTAGGTTACAGAGCTTAATCTATCTGCATTTGGACCCAAACAGAAACCCTTAATACATCAGACACTCAGGAGATCGGTACTATTTTTTTTTCTTAGGCCTTTGTTATTTTTGATCTTCCTTATATGCCTGAAATGCATTTTAGCTACAACCATAACAGTCTAGAGATAGATGGATTGTGCTGTTGTTGTATGACATCACTTTCATGCATGTACATAAAGTCCATGAAAATGATACAGTGACTATAGGGACAAACCAAACGGAAAGCATTATGTTTAGCTGGATGTCTTTGATATATGGAAAACAAGGCATTAAGGAAGGAAAACAGCAAAGGTTGTCATCTACGATTTACTGCTCACTAAATTTTATTACCTTATACCAATATTAAACTATAGTTCTAGGTAGGTTTGAATAGCTATGTTAATGTAATGAGAACAGCTGCTTCTTTTCATCTTTAATGCATTTTAATATACTGTTCCCCCTTTTGTAGATCACCTTGTAATTTAGCATTTCCTTTACATTACTTCCAGATTACTAAGCATTGTAATTTGAAAGCAAGGGGAAAAAAAACAATGACATAGACAAAGAACCATCCCATGAAGGGCATGGAAACTATAACTCTGAATTAATATGC